GACAAATTTGAGACAACTTGTGTCACACTAGCTAATTAATTTCCATAAATAAAATTTATTTTTCAATTATTGTGGGGGCAACTAATCAGGAATGGCATACATACAGAGTTGTTAAAGTTTATTACAGTAAGCCATCCTTCCTTTGTAAGAATGATATTGAGGTTGCCTTGCCTTGAATTAAAAATATTACTTAAAAACCAATGTCTTTGCAATATGATTCAAATCAATATACTGTACACCTTAACTTACATGTTATATGTCAGTTACATCTCAATTTTTTTTAAAAGTCAGTGTCTAAAGTCTTCACAATCTTTCCATTTCTGGTAGAGTGTTAGCTTTCCAACAGAGCATGTATTCAGATCAACTATACTTAAATAAAAATAAAAATTTTTTAAATGTCAGTTTGAAAAAATAAAATAAAATGAAACTCTGGTGGAACTTAAAGAAACAGAATGCATTCAGGAAGTAACACTTGAGTATTTATTTCCCTACAGTGCAAGAGCTAAAATTTATTAACAACAGTTCTTTTATAGAAAAGGAGCCAAGCTACAACATATCTGTGACTAAGGAAAGCTTTCATATATCAAACTGTGAAATTAAATATAAAGAGAAATATGTATAATTCTACAGAGGAAGATAGAAACNTTACAAATTTAATAATGGTAATAGATAAAGAACCCTGGTTATAATAGCCTTTGGTAATTCAGCACATAATATCCTTTTCTTCTCAGCTTTGTTGAGATATTACTGATACATAACATATGTAAGTTTAAGGTGTACAACATAATGATTGGATACACTTATGTATATATTGTGGAATGATTACCACATTAAGGTTAGTTAACACCTCCATCCCCTCACATAATTGTGGTGATGACATTTAAGAGTTACTCTCTTAATTTTCAAGTATACAGTACTGCTAATTACTGTTACCATGCTGTACATTAGATCCCCAGAACTTATTCATCTTATAGCTTAAAAGTTTGTACCCTTTGATCAAAATTTTCCCATTACCCCCACCCCCGCCCCTGGCAACCCACTCTGTATTTCTATGAGTTCAGCTTTTTTAGATTCCACATATAAGTAAGAACATACAGTATTTGTCTTTCTCTTTCTGACTTACTTCACTTAGCATAATGCCCTCAAGATCCATCCACGTTGTCACAAAAGGCAGGATTTCCTTTTTTTTTATGACTGAATAATATTTACACATATAACTTTCTTTATCCATTCATCTGTCAATGGACACTTAGGTTGTTTCTATGTCTTGGCTTTTGCAAATAATATTGAAATGATGGGGTGCAGATATCTCTTCCGAGATAATGATTTCATTTCCTTTGGATATATACCCAGAAGTGGGATTACTGGATTATTTGGTAATTCTTTTTGTTTTTTTGTTTTGTTTTGTTTTTTAAAGATTTTTATTGGGGAATTGGGGGATGGGAACAGTGCTGGGGAATTGGGGGAAGGGGAACAGACAAATTGTTGTTGTTTTGTTCTTCAGTCTAGTTGTGGAGGACGTTGCTTCACTGGCCCAAGTTGGCACCATCATTGCGCTCTTCCCGGGCGAGGCAGAGCAGTCGCCGNCTCCGAAGATGACATACTGTAAGATTCCATTTATACATTCTCAAAATGATGAGATTATAGAGTTGGTGAACACATGAGTGGCTGCTAGGAGTTAGGGGAGGTGGGGATACCTACAAGGTGCCTAGGACTATAAATGGGTAACACTGGGGGATCTTCGTGGTGATGGAATAGCTGTGCATCTTGACTGCAGTGGTTAAACTACCCTACAGGTGATAAACTGGCACAGAAGTACATATACACCATTATACCAATGCCAATTCCTGATGCAGACATACAGTAGTTATGTAAGATGTAACCATGGGGGTAATTAGTGAAGAGTAAGAACCCCTCTGTACTATTTTTTTTTTGCAATTTCCTGTGAATATTTAATTACCTCAAAATAAAAAGCTGAAGAAGTTTCTGAAAATCTGAGGGTAAGGGAAGACATAGCTTTGTAAATAACAAAGGTCTAGCTACTGTCCTTATTAATCTTAGAGTTGTTTCAAGGACCAGGCATGATAAAATAACAAAATCCAGTTTTAACAGTGCCTAATGTTAACCAGACACTGTTTTAAGTGCTTCCCACGTATTGCCCCATTTAAACCACCTAACAACCTTATAAAAGAAATACCACAACCCCATTCTAGAAACAGGAAAAGTGAAGCCGAGGGAGGTTAAAGGAATTTGCCCACGATCACACAGCAAATGGCAGAGCTATGATTTAAACTCCGATTGACTCCCGAGGCATGCCTCCTGCATACCACTGTAACAAGTATAAAGTGGTTCAGTGAAAAAAATAAAAGGTATCCAAAGCACATGCAAAAGCCTGGACTAAACAAGGTTAACACAGGTTATTTTTCTGGAGGGTTTTCAGACCTCTTAAAATGCCAATGTGTGTCATACATCCGGAAGCCATGGTATATGGTTTTTCCCCAGTGTATCTGGCCAGGAAGCATTCCCCTGCCCCCCCCCGCCTCTCCCCCCTCCCCTTGCAGAATATATAATTCAATAGTCTCTCATTCAAAAGTTAAAATTTTAAACTAGACATATTATGGTGATCACGTCACAATATATACAAATATTGAATCATTATGTTGTATATCTGAAACTAATGTCAATTATATATCAATTTTCAAAAAAGTTTAGAAGACCTGATCTTAACCCACTTCTCCACATATTGGCAAACTACAAATGCTTTGAGCTGTGCTGTCCAATATGGTAGCCACTAGCCAAAAGGAACTACTTAACTATAATTACAATTAAATTAAATAGAAAATTCAGTCTTCAGTCACACTAGCTACATTTCAAGTCTTCCAGATTTGTTTCAAGGGCTACATATGACTAATGGCCACCATACTGGACAGCACAGATATAGAACATTTCAATCATTGCAGAAAGTTGTTGGACAGTACTGTGT